ATGTCAGTAAAACGTTAGCATTTTTAATTGAAGTGGAGAGTTTTAATCCAACTAGTAATGTGAGAAATATCTATATATATATCTATATATATCTATATATCTATATATATATATATATATATATATATATATAGTTTTGTGCTATTGTTTTGTGTTACTTATGAAAGCATATAGTTGTCAAGCATGTTGAAAGTTAAAAGATATTCTCCACTCTGCTATCAAAATTATTTCATTAAATGAGGGGATGGTAATTTTTATTGTATTTTAGCAGAAATGGAGGTTATTTTTACAGAAAATTTGGTAGAAAATTGAAAAAAAATGTCTATTTCTTTTCAGGTGGTTGTGAGAAAATGAAAAACTGTTAAAATAATTTAAAACCAAATGTTTCTTTTCTCGGATAGGGAAGAAAAAAAAATTAAAAAAAAAATAATAACAAATATTTTGCCACTAAGAACATCCCTTAAATGAAGCAACAAAAGAAATATAAAACAATAAATATTTAAGCACTTCTAATATAGGAAACACAAAATTTATAATCTCACCCACCGACACTGTATCTACAAAATTTAAAAATAAATTAGTTATCTCCAACACTCGGGTCATACCACCTTCAAGACAACTGGAGATATAGTTAGGAAGAAAATTAGATCCAACACCACTTCAGGCGCCAGGATTTATGAAATAAAATACTTACAATGTAGAAATAGTTACACTGATGAGACATCAAGTAATCTAAAAACCTGCATCTATGAATTATATAATTACTACATTGGGACAAACATTTAAACTCCCTCATAATACATAGGAACAAAACTGGCCATAATTTTGATTTTATAAATGCCACTTTAATTAAAAAAGAACATAATTCTTTATGCAAGAAATGCTTTGAGGGAATTCCAAAAAATACTTTACCATCTATAAACATACATTAAATTCATTATATTGTATCACTGACTTTTATAAAATCCATTCTTGAAGAATCTAAAATAGATATATTTTTGATTCTTCAAGAATGGATTTAGTCCTATAGTACCACCAATACAAATGTTCCCAAATCAACATGCAAACAACCACCATACATGAATAAACTTACCTACCAAATACATACACAAATATACACTCTTTGGCAGAGTGAACCGTCATTAGAACCGACATGTTTTAAACAGCTCAGCTACAAAGGAATTTTGCCGATCAAACAAAGCTGAATTGTGTCTTTAAGCAAAATCCTTCCCATCGTAGACTCTTGAAATTTTCATATCTACTCAGTTTTAGATCCAAACATAAACAAAGCAATTTCTAAAGAAGTAATGGATTTTTTATTTAAAGTTTTTATTTTAAATTTAAAGTTAAAGGAGGCCTATATCTAGACATGCCAAGATGTTCTGCAACTAATGGGGAAAACCCAGATGTAACTATTTTTTAAAGACTTACAAGTCCAGTAATTCATCTCTTTCTGAAAGTTGTTGTATACCAATTCTGTTTTACCAACACAGGGTCTCTCACATTGTACACTTTGTGTCCCACCTCAGACATTATCGGAGGCACTGAATCAAGCTGAACCTCATATCTATAGATTTGGTTTGCAGATGCAGTTGGTAATGAGGTGTTATCTTTGGTGGAGGGACATTGTAACAGTAGGTGTCTCCTTTGACAGTACATTTCATCCTGGTTGCAATCTTCTTGACACTTCTGTGACACTGTTCTGTTATTCCATTTCCTGCTGGAACATGTGCACATCAAAATCACAAATGTATGTCCCATTCTTCAGCAAAGGCCTAGAAGTCCCTGTTGAAGAATGCAGTATCATTGTTCGAGAGTAGCTTATGAGGTGGTCTCTTACAGAACACCAATTCCTAAGTAATGAACTTTTCATTTAAATTTTTTTTTTAATTAATAAAATTTCTCAAATATTCAGGTCAGTAGATGAAAATAAATAAATAAAAAATCATTTATGTAATATAGTGTTTGACATGTGTTTATAGATAGTAAAATATTTATCAGAATCCCCTCAAAGTATTTCTTACTTAAAGAATCATGTTCTTTTCTAATTAGGGTGGCATTTATAAAATCAAAGTTATGCCCTGTTTCATTCATGTTTATTATGAGTGAATTTAAATGATTTAGACAGATTCTGATGACTATTTTACCATCTATAAACACATCACACACACACACTATATTATATCACACCTACATTTTTAAATCCATACCTAAAGAATCTAAAATATCTACCTACTACTACCACCATTACAAATGATGTTATGTGAAAACACTCCCAAACCAACATGCAAACAACCACCATACATAAATAAAAATTGCCTACCAAACAGTCACACACACACACACACACAAAAATGTACATTTTATCATTCAAATCCCACATAGACAAAGTGGAATCATCATACACTTATGCACATAAATTTTACACAGAAATGCTGCTTGACAAGTCAAATGTACATGAAGTCTGCTTGACCAATGAAAAACAAACAACATGAAAATTAGAAATAGCAGAATATTTTTTCTTTCTTTTTCCCTCATATCTAATTCTCTAATGAAGCTTTAATAAAAGCAAAACATTTTAAATTGATAAATGTTTCCTGTTTGCTCCTTATCCTATAATTCTGTCGGATTCCAATCCAGATTTGATCCCAATTCATCAAGAATTTTAAACTAAATGAGGACATTATTTGCATTATTGACATTACTTGGGCCACTATCCTTATCTTCATTGCCATATTCATAACTTTTCAGCCATTGTACACACTGGCTTTCTCTGGTGATATATATTTTACAGAAGTAATTAACTTAATATTTAATCAGAATAATTCATAATTTAATAATGCTATCTTCTTCTTTACATAAACACATTTTGTTGTTCAATGTTTGGCCAATCTGTCTTGCAAACAATTACTATTATAAATTTATATTGTCACTTAGGGGCATGTACATAGTCAGCTTTGTAACCATATCCACAACTGTTAATTCGACATGTAGCTCATTTTGTGGAGGTCTTAACCACCATGTAGGACATGTAGACATTTTTTTTTTTTATAAATTCTGCAAAACAAGACACTTTTTTTGAAAAGCGACTAAAATTAAATGAAAGCAAAGAGTTACTAAAAATATTTGTGTTTAAATTTCCTTTTGCAGCATCTTGTTGCCAAGTTAATTTTAGAAGCGAGTATAAAAACCCAGATCTGAATATCTTTGTGTCTTTAAAAGGTGATAAAACCGAGGGATCTTTTTATAAGAAAAGTAGTATTGATCTGTTCTATATCTAGGGGTGGCCATTTATGCAATGCAAATTATTCTAACCAAGAAAGAGTAGTGTTTGTACGCAAGTTGGCTGTTTATGAAAGGAGCTGATTTAGAAAGGGACTATGATAAATTCTGGGTTGAATATATTCTCTCGATGGGGCTTAGAATATACTAATTGCACTCCTGCATAGGGGTGAAGAATCCCCCACAAAAAAAACACTTTTCAGGTGGATGTTCCCAGACTTCGGTCTAAAAGTAACCAACAAGTACCTTTCACGCTATAAGAGCAAACTAGGTCTATGTCTACTAAATACCTTTAATAATTCACTGAAAAACTGCATAGCATGATGAAAAACAGGTTCTAAACTTAATAAAAATAAAGTTATATTGTCAAAACGTTTGTTATTAATAAGAGGAAAGACAAAAGTACTTTTTTTATTTTATTAACTTTTTTAATCTTTTCTACCAAGTTTGATTTTTTTTTGTCTTGTTGAAAATTTGATTTTTTTTTTCAAATTATGCTAAACCAAAAGCAACAGCATATCTTTTCAAAATTGAATGATTTTTTCATTTTTCATGATTTCTTAGACCTGAATCAAATCTCCAGACCTTTTGGTAATCTCAAAAAGTATACTGAGGTTGTTGATGATGAAAACAAGACATAATCTTTCCCATACAAAATATTCATAATTTAGCAAAATGTATTGTGGACAAATGGATCCAAATCTGAACCTTTTCACAGTAAGAAGAGCCCGGAAAAAGACTGAAAAATAAAAGCAAACACACTCTAGTTAATGAAATGTTATTTTTTAGTTAAATAAATTAATTATATAGAAAGATGTGGAGGTCCATGATCACCTACACCCTTGTGTAAATTAATTTAATAAAATGAATAATTCTGTTGTTATTTACTTTTTCATATTTTTCCCATAAAACATGACCCAGTGAACATGTTAGTACTTTGCATGTCCATTCCACAAAGTCGTTCCTTACAGACTGACCACAAATTCTTGATTGGAATTAAATCAGGAGAGTTTCCAAGCAAGTCAATAGTACTTTGATTTGCTTACTGCTATTGCTTACAATTGTGTTTGTGAAGTGTTATAATTTTCGTACACTTCCTTGGAGTAATATCCATTGCAGATAATGGCCATAGGACAACTAATTGACAGTCCAGACAATAGTGTCTGGGCATAATGAAAATTTGATGCAGTAATGGATGATTCAGTATTTTTCAAGGCTAAACAAATTTCATCATACAACCCAAAAATAGATTCATATTACTGCCCACCACAGCAAATGACCTAATCTGAGAAAAAAAATAGAAATTGATTACATAGTGTCACTCCAGTGGGTCTAAAACTGACCATATGGTGAAAGGATGGAAACTAAAGTAGTTGTTTCAAATAATTTGCACAAGAGTGTACTTTAAAAAATATACAAAAATATCTCATTTTAAGATGTTTTTTTTAAGAAATGCAGGATGATCCCCAAACTTTTTGCCTGTGGTGTAGGTCTACCCTTTTGACACTGGTAGAAAATAAAACTTAATTTTTTGACATTAGTGTACAGTGTGTCTATGTCTGCCTTTTATGACTCAAGTGCAAACCATCTGATATCTTTCTATGGATTGATATTTTCTTATAAGACTTGTGTCTGACATCAAATAATCCAGGTTCTGAAGATACTTGTGCCATCTTATCATATCTACAGATTCAGTGCAGGTATCCTAGCTGTGGTGCATGAAGGGCTGCCTCTTGGGGCTGGATATTCTTGTGCCTCTTGGTGATGTCTGCATCTGATGCTCAAAAGATTCAATAGCCTGGTAAATATTATATTAGAAAATAGTTCAAGGAAAATTTAGATGATCATAAGATATAACTGAATAAATATAAAAGTCATTATATCCGATATCTTGAGACATGTTTGAGACAATTGCTGTTGGGCTTATGTGTTGATCAGGTATCACATTATATGAACTAGCAGTCATGTTTGGGTTGTTCTGGCCTTGATAACTCGATTCCATCTCAGAATATCCTGAGGAAACCTCTGCTTATTGTTTACTACACTCAAATCCATTGGAAAATTCAAGATGTGAACATAAGTACATTTTAAGCGACATCCAATGACCCATTCTTTGGTAAATTGTTAGCAAACACCGTAATTAAATCAGCATATTTTCCCGTTTTATAAGACCCATGAAATTTCAGTACAAATAAGACAAATTATTTACAGATTGGTTTAATCATTTACCAAATCTTCCACCTGTGAATGAAAATAAACAAAAGTTTTCTTTCTGAAGATACTGTAAGGATTTTAAAAAAAATGTGAGCAGAACTCATTATCTAGAAATTTGTGTATCATAATCGTTATTGGTTCTTGATATCTCTCTCGGAAACAGATATATTTGTTTGAAGTAGCAAAGTGGTGGTTGACTACTGTACCTGAGTAGGACAATCTAGCAGGTAACTGTAATGGACTGGTCCTCGTCGTAGTGGTAGGCAATAGGCATAGGCAATAGTCGAAGACAATAGACGTAGTACATGTACCTCCACATCAGTCTGTATTTATGGCTGACACCAGCCAATCATATTACTGTGAGGGGGGGGCAGGTTTATGCATATTCTATACATCAGTTCTGAAACTGGAATCCTTAATCTAAGTTTGAATCCCCACTGAGTCTATTGTATTCATTTTCCAACTAAAGGGCGACTCCATCTTTCCTCTCCTCAACTGTTGGTTAAACTGCTTGGCAGAAGCCAATTGAGAAGAACAAATTTGAATTCAAAGACATTTGAGGAGGTGACAGGAAACCACTCTATTATTTCTCCTAAGAACTGTTTTATAGATAAAGAGCTGATTCTGCATATATATATATATATATATATATATATATATATATATATATATATATATATATATATATATATCTGTATTGTGTTTGAGTGACTAACATGTGCTTCTATCAATTAATTCACACCCAAGCACAAACAAGCACAGCAGATTACGAAAGTCTTGCTTTCTACTGTTTTTGCTTGGTGCTTCTAAATCAAGTAATCTATATAATGCTTATATACATACATTATATATGTACCAAAGGTTTTTATTGTCGGGGTTTAATAGTGGAGACAAGTTCCCATTGTCTATAAAATGTTTCCATGGCATGTGTCTCAAATAGCCTCTGACAACTAAGTCAAGCTCCAAGCCTGAGAGTGGGCAAAGGTGGAAAAACTGGCACCTCATAACCAGCTATTTTGGGTAGATAGAGCTTGACAACCCAGAAAGGCAGTCCATCTAAGATTTTAAACATTCACTGCTTATCCCAACAAAAAACCTTGAGTGAAAATTTGAAGGCGGTTAGCTGTCAAAACTGACAACTTTTCTGCAACTCCTACAGCCAAGGTATATCCAAATGTAATATATTCCTTTGGATCTTGTCGGTACAGTTGATATGGTGGGGGTGCATGTATTCTGGACAATACATGGGCTCCTTATCCCATCATCCAGGCCTGTTCTCTGGAGAGGACTGAATTTTGACCAAAAAGAATGTTATCTTTATCCTGTGATAACACAAACACAGAAACATACAATTTGGCTGAGTTTAAAATACACTGGAATAATGCACTCCCTGTCAGCTCAGTCTGGACACTCTCTAGCTTGGGGTGAGCAATCATTTTTTTGTTAATGTTTTCCCTCAAGCAAGGCGATAATACCACTAGAATGCAGGGGGGGGGTTATAGGGAGTGATAAGAAAATGAGAAGAATTTAGTAGGAAGGGCTGGAGAAAGAACAATAAATAAACAGGGTTCATGAAGACAGAAGATGGTAATTGGTGTTGCATCTAAATCTTTGAAGATTGTAGGTGGCAGGGAAGCAAGAATTCAGAAGGGAGTTCCACAGGTGAGAAGTGCGATGAAATATGTTAGTATAGAAGTGTCGGTTTAATCTAATTCAACTGGTTGAGGCACCAGAGACAAAAAGCTCATCAAAACATCTGTCTATATCTCTAAGATGAGGTATTATGATTACTTGCATTATTTACATTATTTGGACTGTTATCCTCATCTTCATTGCCATATTCACAATGTTTCGGCCATTGTATGCTTTGGCCTTTTTCAGATGATTGGATCTCTGAGATGAGGTATTATGATTACTTGCATTATTTACATTATTCAGACTGTTATCCTCATCTTCATTGCCATATTTACAACATTTCAGCCATTGTATGTTCTGGCCTTCTTCAGATGATAGGAATTTATTTCATCCATTGTGGTAGATTGTTCTAATACCTTTGTCATGCCTCTTCCAGATGTCTCAGTTATTTCTCTTTAACTCAACTCTTCAAGTTTGTTTAGTCACTGCTGTGGCCTGGTATTGAACTTACAACTCTTTGGGTTTAGTCACTGGATCTAACCAATGTCTTTATCCATTGGGCCATGTGTTCCAATCACCTGAAGAAGGCCAGAATATACAACAGCTGAAACATGTGAATAGACAATGAAAATGAGGATCACAGTCTAATAATGTAGCTGTACATAATGCAACTCATCAAAACAGTTGCCATGATTGATATTTGTAGAAAAGACAGACGGAAGCAATGTCACATCAGTGAGAAAGTGACTGAAGTAGGGATGTCTCGTTCAGATCAGTTACATTACAGACACTTCTTTGAATTTTGTCAAGAATTTTGAGATATATAGCAGGATCACTATACCACATATGGCAGCAAAAATGCAAAGATGAATGGTGCACTTGTAAATGTGCAAGATGGATGCCAGAGATAAGAAAAAAAGATACATTTTTAAATCTTAAAAAAATAGTTAACTGTAAAGTTATATTGAACTTTCTTGAAATAATTTGGTAATAAATAAACTTTTCTTTAAATCTTTTTAAAAAAACGTTGTGGAAATATTTTTTTTAATGTCAGGTCCCTATATGAGTGCTGCTAATCCTACCAGCTGCATCATTGGAACATTGGTGACTAAACCAGTTCCCCAGCAGGATTAAAAACAAGATCTTTTGGAAGGGAAATGAACATTCTTGTAGAGGTCACGGCTATCAAGTCGAATGGGGTAATCTAAGCTTACTAGTTATCTATGTTCATTGTGGTGTAATGGATACCGGCTCAGAATGAGAACTTGGAGAGCTGAGTTCAAATTCCAATCGGGTTCGTTATTTCACTTATGCGCATTTCTTCTCCCCCCAGCTATGGATTAAACAGTAGGACAGACTGGGTTATTTAGCCTTGGTTGGCAACCAGTCTACCGTAGAAAGAAATGGCAACCTGCCACGTGAAAAATCTTTTGCCTCGTCAGTCATGTATCGAAAGATACATGATCATCTAAGCGTTTATCATGAGTAGCACTTAACCGATTGAACTGATGCAGCTAGTTCAGTGATGACACAGTATCAGGTGGATATACATATATACATACATTATATATGTACCAAAGGATTTTATTGTCGGGGTTTAATAGTGGGGACAAGTTCCCATTGTCTATAAAATGTTTCCATGGCATCTGTCTCAAATAGCCTCTGACAACTAAGTCAAGCTCCAAGCCTGAGAATGGGCAAAGGTGGAAAATTACTGGCAATTCATAACCAGCTATTTTGGGTAGATAGAGCTTGACAACCCAGAAAGGCAGTCCATCTAAGATTTTAAACATCCACTGCTTATCCAAACAAAGACTGAAAATCATAGACTGAAATCAGCAGCCATCGTGGAGGGTTCCCTCAGTGGAATCCACAGCAATGTGTCCATGGGCAAGGCTAACCTTAAAGTTGGAGCACATCATCTGGGGTTTGACCTGGAGATGGATGGGCTGCGTCAGGTCTACTTGCCCATGACATTATATACATGAATGAATACATCTTTGGAAGGAACTGGTCAGGTGATCAGCAGGGAACCTTTTGCTCATGGGATTGATGATATTGAGAAATATTTTTTGGATGATGCACACAATAGCAAGTGTGAAGCTTTCTTGTTTTGGCATCCATTCACTTAATATCAGCTATGGTTCAGTTAAGGATGTTAAAACTGTATTGCAACACAGGAACAGTCAAGGTGTCTATGGCTGATATTCTGTTTTGTTGAAGTCAGCTCAGTATTCAGTACTAGATGCACCTGCCTGTAGTACTTCTTTCTTATGTTCTCCTTCATTTGGGTATATTGTATACCATCTCCTTCACTAATTCCTAGATACTTATAGGCTTCATCTTGTTCCAGTTCCCCAATCTTTGTGACAAAGTCTAAATCTAAGTGTTTCCGTAATTCTCCCTTTCTTGAATGTTACTTTTGCACATTTGTCAAATCTGAAATTCATACCTATATCGCCACTGAAACATTTTACAATATTGAGGAGGCCCTTCACCTCATTGTCATCCATGTAGAGTATGTGATTGAATAGTTTTTGTTTAGTTTGTGACCATAGCTTCTGTTGTTTAGTTCATGCATAAGGGGAATTAAGGAAAAAGAAAACAAATGGGGTGACAGGGAGTCTCCTTGAAAGATTCTATGTCAGATATTCAGACGGTTAAAGATGGCAGTGCCTCTGGTGTGATTTAGGGATAATGAGGTGTTCACATGCTGTGCTTAAGGAAATTTACTACCACAGGGGAAACTTTGTACATTTCCAAAGTCTTAAGGATCCAAGAATGTGGCACACTATCAAAGGCTTTACGGTAATCAATCCACGCTGCACTAAAATCTCTACATTGTTTCCTGCAATTTTCCAGGATCATTTTGTTTATTAGCAGTTGATATTTGCAACCATATGAACCTCTCC